ATGGTTGAAGCAATGGGGTCTTGAGTGAAGATGACTGTGCTTGTCCATGGATGCATTTTTAATATATGAAATATTGGAGCCTGACTGCCAGAAAGCTTGTACAATAGTTATCAGAGCCCTGTCTGTTGCTATAGGAGTGAGTAGTTTATCCGCTGCAAGCACTGCAGTAACACACTTGTATAGCAGCACTGGTGATCAGACAGGACAACACATAACAGAGGAGGAAGGGAGGCATTACAGATGTGTCCCGAGAGAGACAGGAGACGCGTGTCAAAGTGCTTGTTACGCCACTGTGAAGCACAAGGGTCACACTCAATGAAGAAAGGCTGACACCAACAAATAACATTATATCTGTGGGAATACTCAATAGTAATGGCAGTGACATAGCATTCTCTTGTCTATAGTTCAGCATCTATCTTTTTATTATGGAACAATAATACATATTAGATTACTTTGCTCATAATATAATAACATGCATGAAAGACATAGCTCATTTTGTGTTAAATTCTAAGTCAGTATTTGAAAAAAGGTGTAAAGATTTTTTTTCTTGCCACAAGAGTACTAGGTCATTTTTGGTTTTTCTGAAGCTATAAGCTACAAAATAAAGAGTACATTTATACACGTCACATTGTCTTCAGATCTTTAAAAGGTAAGACAGAATATTAAGTGGTTACTGATAAAAGCAGCTTGCAGTTCAATACATGCATGCAATAATTGTCATTTTGTTTTGATTCTTACATAATGTACTAATTTGACAAGTTACACTTTTTATCTTTAGTCACTACATTATGATTAATCATGTCATCCAAAAGTTAGCTCAGCTTAAAAAGTAACATCCTTAATCTTCCCAAAGGATCATTGTTAGACCATTCGTCATAGTAATTTAGTGATTGACAGGTGTGATAGCCCGCCTCCTACTTCATTAATTCAAAGCTTATTCAATTTAATCACCTCAACCGGATTGTTTGAGAAAAGATTAATTTACTAAGAAGTAAAGACGTAGAAAAACGATGATGTAAATAGCTTGAACTCCAAAAACAGCAAAATATAATGATTCAAATATGTTACTATTAATACAATTTTAAACTAGTGGATTGAGATACCAAATTGAGAAAAATCCCAAAATCCCAAGAAAACTGGCTCCATGCCTACTGATTGTTCCAAATGCAACACTCTACGCAAGGTTGAAATGATCAGGTGCAGGAGATGCACAATTTAAATAATCTTAAGTAGTAGGGCTCGGAACTTCTAAATCAGGTCTGGGCAATAATTTTCTCTGCGTAGGGGCTACATTCTTAATACAAGTGCACGGACGTTTTCAGAATTTTCCGTTTACGTTTTCATGACAAAAACACTGATGTAATGCGAGAAAAGGCCGGGAGTAGATACCGGCACATTTTAGGACACATTTGCAGAGGATCGAATTATGGATTTTGGTTAGGTTTATGTTTGGGTCACTCACCGCTGATGTTCAGAAACTTTGTTCAGTTTTCATGCAGTTCCAGAGAGTTCTAGTTTGGAAGTTACTACTGTAGCCTTGTTGCTAGCATAGCCACGGGAAAGCCTTTGGGAACAGACCCCTTCGCCCTGTCGGTACTTATTTTCCGATAATGACCTGCGTAATATACGTTATCCCTTACTTAAACTTTGTATACATTCTGAATGTATTTTGAGCAAATTATTGCTGTAGATTGCTTTTGACATTTTTTTTGGTCTGTGTGTGTGAGTATGAGGTTAAACTCATGAGGATCACGGGCTGCATAGAAACATGAATGTGGCTCCAACACTGCAGTTTTCCCAGGTCAGTCCAAAATAGAATACTTGTGCCCTATACCCATTGTGGTGGCAAAGATGTAACCCCATCGATCGCCTCCTGGCTGCTAAGTTTTAAAGAGTTTCCCCATCGCGTGTCTCAACAAACCACAGACCAAATATTGCATTAGAAGTTCTTTATGACCAGTAATCCACAATAACATAATACACTCCACTGTCATTGAAACAGAAAGAAAACCTCCAAACTAAGCAGCACCTGTGCAATCTAATTCTGCCCCTTTTATAGGAGAATAGGCACAGGTCACTTAAGACCCACAGCTCCACCTTGTGGCTAGGGGAAGGTACATTTTGGCTCTTACACAAATGTAAGTTTTGATGTTTTGTCTCTGTTTGCTTTCTGTTGTATCAAATTATACAAATTGACTAAAACAAAATTGACCGAATAATCGTCCAAACGACTAAAGGCCAATGAAATAAGCATTACAATGGAAACATGTCAGTGTCCTAGAAAAACGTGGGCTCATAGTTGCAGGGATCCAATGTATATGATGCACTTTAATGGCCAGGGCTTATTCATGCTCTTATCCAATATGCCTGTGAAGCAGTGCGTGACTGTGAGCAGATTTACGTAATGCTTTCCTCGACATAATAAAAGTTTCATTCACTGTTTTATACTTTGACGACAGCCTATGGGCCAGAGATCTATTTGGTTTAATTGGTGCATATTGCGGCTGGCCTGTCCATATATCTTCAAATCTAGGTTGATCTTTTATCTATTGAGAGAGGTTACATCACACTGTGGAGGTTACTCATCCTCGCCGTCTGCTCTGTGTCGCCCAGCTCTCATTGGAAGCAGGTTACGTCACTGGAATGTTCTGTCAAACTTTTAAATACCAACAATAAAAGCTGTCCAATAAAGACTGAGATTGAGCAAACAAAGTTTTTACCGGTTCCAGATAATTTGGATAGCAGACATTTGTATTTGAGCTACATGTATGATCAAATAAATATCACCATTTTTGTGGCTGAAATGAAATCACAAACACTGCAAATATTAAGATTACCTAATTTATTTTATGAACACAAAATTATCTGTCTATCCTTGTGTTTAGAGCGTAGAGCTTTAGAATGACAAGGATCACTCAAAATGTGTAAAACAGGCTAATTGGAACTTCAATTAGCTAGCATTTCTCTTAATCTTTGGTGATTGTTTGATGACAATGAACAAAATGCCAGGTCTTCATTTCAAAAGTGGAAACTTTATCAAATATTGTCATTCAATAAAAAAAATGCCAGGTTGCAGATTCAGACTCAAATTTGAATGTTCCTGGTATACTTTGAACATTATCCTATAGCTTCATAGAGAAAATAGTTATGTATTTAACTTAACTGAAATACATTTGCCTTGCCTTGCCATACAAATAATAGGTGACCTTTTCTGAACAAAAGTTTAAAGTTGAGTTATTCTTAACTACAAATACAATGGGCATGATGTCCATAATACTTATGTTTACAATTTTCAAGCAGATTATCCAATCAAAGAGCTTTTGGGTTACTCACTAATTTTAACTAAAAGTCACTGGAATAATAATTTGTCAACACAGGAAAAGTATCATGAGGCAGAATTGGACTCAAGGAATGTAGAATGGTATGGATGCACTGTAGATGAATTCAACCAAAACAGCTATTACATTGAATTATCACATATTTTTAATAATATTAAGTATCCCTACTGTGAAATTATAGTCTCCTTTAGATCACACTGTACTCCATAGTTTAGAAGTAATTTCTTACACCAGTATTATTTTACAGGATTCCTTTCGATTCTTTTGATTGAGCACCAAATCTCTTTTGTGAATAAAATTGCCACAATAGTCTACATTTGTGATTTGTTTTTGTGTTTTTGAAATATATTCAGCAAATGCACCGACCACTTAAAGAGTAGATTTCTGTTCTATAATCAGCCTTCTGCAAAATGAGCAAACCTCTCCAATTTCCACGCACCTTGATTGCCACAAACCACACACTAATCAATTCCATTCTGTTGGATTTTGGCTTTTGGGAAATACAAAAAAACAAACAAAATTGAGCTTAAATTAAACAAAATTAGCAGACAGATGTGATAAGGACGCCATAATCACCAACACTCACTAAATGTGCTGCTGTTGCTTCTTGTGCCTAATGTTACGCCTGCTTCTGTTCTGCACCACTTACTCACATCCAGCTAAATTAAAAAACACAGACAGCTGGTGCATGATCGCAAATGTCAGTGTGATTTTCTTTTAGCTTTGGAATAAAAAAACAAGATATTCAATGTTCTCTGGGGTGGGAGAAATAAGTGCCTTGTCTGGAAGTAGGGAGCCAGCATGCTGACAGTATAGACCTGAGTCACAGCCTTTGTCTTGTGGAATCCACTGGGGTCTCTCGTCTGAGCTAAACTGGGGGTGGCTACACATGGCTAGACAGGTGCAGAAGTCCTTAGGAGGAGCACTAAAGATGGGCTTCCAGCAGTGGCAGTATGGGCGATTACCTAACACTGTCCCTTAACCCTCAATTGCCAACAGGGGATGACCTTGAGATGGAGCTCTGGCCTCTGGCACTCTAACCATACACAAGGGAATAATGGAGCATATGGCACATCCTGGAAATGGAAAAGCATCAGCAATAGGAAACAATCACATGTGAAGTCAGGTTGATGAAATGAGACCCACCCCTGAACTACGTTCACAGTCACACCCACCCATCAATGCAACATCAGGACCAGTTCATATGCATCATCATAGCGTATCTTCCCTGTATAGACTATATTTGCATAAAAGCCTGTTGATAATTCTGTCAAAATGCCAATATAGTGCATTTATAATGTAATTTGAAACAACACAGCGAATTCAATAGGCTTTTTTCAAGTAGTAGTAAAACAATCCAGGCGTAAAAGTGCAAAAAAGAATTTGAGACAGAATGCAAGTCAATATGTCTCTCTAGGTAATATGTCAGAAGACTTTGTTTGTAGTGTTCGTAAAATGTGGGTGGGAAATGTACACACAAAGCTTCAATACTACAACTCTCCCAAGCAATTCAATAATGTAGTCTTACGAAACCAAATGACGCACCGACTTGCATCAGGCAGGTGTCAATCCAAAACTCTTTGATACCAAAATGCGAAATCTTTACAGCAAAATAAAGAGGTTATGCTCACGATGCCAGCGCATAATAAGGACACTACATACCTTGCGAAAGTGTGGAGACAACGGGAGAAGTCTGGCGCTGCTGTGGAGAAGCGATCCAAAAGCTGCGATTACGCACAAAAGATACGGTTCAATTCAACACTCTAGTGTGTGGAAAATGTGGTTTTACTGCAAGGTTGTGATTGTGGAAGCGAAAAGGGGGGGATGCAAAGTCAGAGGATGCCCTTAAAAGCCCCAGAGCTGGTGGTGTTGTTGTGTGGAGAGCGTCTCTAGACTGGAATGAACTGAGGCAGGCGAGTCGAGCAGCAGTAGCAGCAGCGGCAGCAGCTCTATTATTGGCTGATGCTGTCAAGAAGAGGAGGATAAATAAACCAGCAAATGGGACACACATTAAGCACATATACGCAATCTATATATTCACTCTCAATTAGTTTATTATCACAAGAAAATAATACTAGTTAACCGTAATGTGATTTTTGTATTACATAAATGACGCGCGTGCTTGTTTTTTGGCGCGTGCTTGTCTTTTGGCGCCACTCGTCAAAAGCGTCAACTAACTGTAGCATCTTGTTTGAGCTTACACGCAACTATAAGGTAATGTTTTGTGCCTACATACCTTTGTGACAGATGACATTTATGAAAAAGAATGTTTATAAATGTTGTCTCTCCTAGGATAAAAGGAACCTTCTGGTTGTTTCACGTCATATCCATTAGCAGGACATCTGGGCGAAAACAGCTGCTAGCTAACAAGATTTGAGGTGAGTAAAAGTGCAGAGCATAGCTATATGTAAGCCTTATATAATCAGGTCGATGCTTGAAATCATAGCCCATGTTCAATATGAGGGTATTTTGTTGTTAAATCTTGCTAAACTGCATACAGTTCATAGCTTGAAGAGATCACATGTTATCAATTACCACTTTTATTTATTACATAAGCGCATTTTCTTCAGGCAATCAAGAGCTTGGGGCCCAGTTTAAGGTGCACTGTGTAACTTTTCCGGTGTTTTTGAGAGTACTTTATTACTTTGATTGATATCATCTTTAAAAAGTATGATATAAGGTATGGTCCAATCAGAGTACTGTTTTCTGAATACTTAAGTACTAATCCAGCAAGGAATTATAAAAAAAAAATCTTATTGTTAATTAGAAAAGGATACACCTGTGACCATCACTAAAAGTTGCATTTTCATTTGACATTATCCCAGAGAAATAGCAAAATATCCAGTACATGTAATCCCCAACAATAGGTTAATTGAATTTGTTTAGGCATTTTAGGCCGTTACAACTCACACTGAGCAAGCGATGCATCCCCTACCACAATCGTAGTACAATATATCTTGCTTAATGATTTGCCAAATCAGCATGTATTTAATTTGTGCAATGTAATTTAGTATTAAGTACATAAAGACCCACAATCATTTTTTTACAACGCTTGAAAAATATGGAAAGCAATTATATTAATTAACAATCAGTGTCAGCCCATACCACCCTGACTGCTGTAGCTAATCTAATTTTAATTGACTGGAACACTGGGATAAAGATTCAATAGTCATAAGAGGAAGTTGTCCAGTGTTCTGCTTAGTAACAGATTTTATTTAGCACGACTCTGCTGCTGTTACACTCCATTCATATAATTAGCGTGAATTTGCATATCTCTGAAAAGCCAAATCCCCCGCTCAATTGTGTGGTCGAAACAAAACTCTGGTCAGTAAGTGAAGGTATGTGTCTGTGCTGGTGCTGCCCTGTGTGTCTGTGCTCCATGCTGAGAACCAATCTGCTCTGACAAATCCATCCGCTGATAGGAGTAATGTGTTGTGTCCCACTTCTCAGGTTTTCTATCAGACTTCACCGCAGGTTTGGGATTGAGGTGAGTTACTGTCGTGAATTAATCTATTCTGCTCTGGTGAACTAAAGAGGCTACTTTTCATTTTAATGACATAACACCTTCATGTCAGATTCTTACCTGAGACTATTTCCAACAATACTGTTTTACCAAGATAGTAAATGTGAGAGATACATTATTTGACTGGAGCTCAGACAGATCTCCCCAAATAGTTGTGATTTACAGAGGTGAAGGATGTTGTAAAAGGTTTATTATCCCAATAATTAGTTTAATGATGGAAATATAATTTAATTTTAGGTTAAACAAGTTCAAGATGTCTAAATAAAAATGTTAAATCAAAAAGGGTATGAAATTTATCATTACTGGTTATAGTATTCTAAAACCATTCAGTATGACTAACTTACATATATGATGTGATCTGTTTCAACAGTAATAGAAAGCATGGAGGGACAGGACAGCCTTTTAACTGAAGAAAAAATGACCTCATCTCCGTCTCCCAAACGACCAAGGCCAAATCACACAGAGGCAAGCAACAGAAAAAAAATATTGGATTTTTCTCAGCCTCTGACATTTCCAAAACCTCTCTCTTTGCAGCAGAACACAAGCCAAATGTGTGAAGAAAAGGCACCTTTACAAACCACTATGAATCCGGATCAGCAGAACTTTACCAATTTTTCCACAGATTTACCGACACAAGTCCCAACACACAAAGTTTCCATTACAGATATCACAGAAAGTGACAGGTTCATTTTAAAGATGTTGTATGATTCCTATGGAGCTGCAACAATCTCTCAAGAGTGTAGCTGGCTAGGGAACTCATTCCAATGTGTGCCCCCTGTTGCGTCCAGTACTGCCAGAGGAGACATGGAAGAGGTGAGACAGGTGCAAAACAGCAGCCCTCACATCCAAATAGTCTCCTTGACTTGTGCTGAAGAGGATGTCAGGTGTCGAGCTGATTGCAGTTATGAAGAAGTGACTCCAGATGAAGACACTGATATGCAAAATGGCGCCCTGGCATTGGCTGAAGTGAGTAATCAGAGGGATATTCAATATGAGTTCAGCGAGAAACCCCTTTGCTGCAAGAAAGTGGAACAGGTGAAAAATGGCTTATCTTTCAGCCATGTTGCAGACGGTGAGTCACTCACGTCTAAGCCTCAAGGTTGTCTCTCTAGTGTTGTGGCAGAAGTTGGAGAAGATAATGATACAGTAGAAATGCAAAATGTTTCCTATTGTACTGCAGAAACAGAAGAGCAATTTAATGAAGGTAGGAAACAATCCTTTGCAACTGAAGGTGAGCAGACCGTGGGAACGATTGTTGAAAATAAGAGCACATTTTATACAAAAGATGAGTGTGACGCAATGAATGAAGAAACTGAGAAAGCGTTAATCTCAAAAGTCGTGATTGAAAGAGCGGATGACACAACAGAGACAGAAGCGTCAGTAAGCATCCGTCAAGTCATTACTGAAGGAGATAATGATGCAGCCTCTTTTGGTGTAATTGACCCAGCAAAAACGAGTGGAGCTGACAGGCCCGCTGACGAAAAGCGCAATGCTGGTTTTGATCTATATGCATCTGATAATGTCTGTAACATGGACAAAAATCTTTATACTGGGCCATTACCGTACGAAACAGTCAAACTCCCTGAGCCTGAACCTACAGAACTGCTGTGCTTTCAAAGTCTGCAGAAGTGCGAATATGAAAAAGGCTGTCAGTCAAACACAGAGGCAGTAACTTGTATCGCACATGACAAAACAAGTGACAGAAGCGACACTGAAAACCACTGGAGACCCACAAGCCCTTGCAGTAGCAGTTCAGCCATCTTTGATTCTGCAGAAGATCAAAGAGCTGGAAGCCAAGGGACAGTGGGAGACCAGATGAAAGAGACGAATCAATCTGGTAGCCTTGACCACCCTGAGGCGCACAAGGTTCACCGCCTACAGAGGGACATGGCAAATGTGAACGAGGCAACAGAGAAAGATGTAACAATGAGAATAAAGATGGGGTTAAAGGAAGTGCCCCTACAACAAACCACACATGAAGTTACAATTGAGAGCACACCCTGCAAGATGAACAATGAAAGTGATTGCGATAGTAAAGTTAAAGACTCTGCTGGTTTAACTGACAACCAAGTCACTTCTTGTCAGGTAGAAGAGGTGATGGCATGCAATGAAACCGCAGTGGAAGAGGACGTGACAACAGCTGTAGTGTCTAATCAGCTTGAATTAAACACGACTGATATCCAAGTAACTGTTTTGGACAAACCTCAGTTGGAAACATGTGAGATAGGTGACAGCGAAAAAAATGAGGGAATGAGTGTCACAAGTGAGTGCACAAATCTTGAAATAGCGATAGAAGAAAACGGCAACATGGATAAGAAGAATTGCACATTGAATATTGTGGGAAGTCAAGGAGAAAATCCAAAAATAGTTGTGAAATCATCACAATACAATGCAGATCTAATCTTGGCTAAAAGTAACAATATCTTTTCAGGGTTTTTTTCTTTACCTGACACAGTTGACCCAGAAATAAACTTTGCTTCAACAAACTCAGATTGCACTGACCACCGCTCCACTGCTCAACACAACTGTAATGACACATATTCTCCAGCCCCATCTGTTTTTCCATTCACCAAGCGATTGCCCATTGCGGGTTTTGACACATTCGAGAAGATACAGCTCTCACCAGACGACAACGACATGGACACGTCTGCTCTCGGCAATGGCCTCCTGCTCGCCAGCCCGCCCAGCCAGCTGTTGGAAAACCCCCAGCATCAACTTTGCCACTCCAAGACACATGCAACCAGCCATGAATCCAACAAGACTGAAGAGATTGAGTTGTTTAATGTTAACAAAAATGAATTTTTAAGCAACCTTAACACATGTAACAAAGCCCCGAGTCCCATTTCGGCTGCAGATGTTATTGCCCCGGGTTGGCCGGAGCTAAAACCTCATTGTGAATCTACCTATCAATTGATTTACGATTGCTTTCATGATGATTCAAATCTTGACTCGTCGGCAGTGTCTTTTGAAAGTGACTTTTTTGACTGTGAAGGCAGCAACAAGCGCATGTTTGAGATGAAAACTCAATTTGACACAGTGCTGAAAGAGCTGAAGCTGTTTTTCGACATCAGTGCAAGTGATATGGCAAGCAGCAATGGCACGCCATCTCCAGAGCCTATGATGGATATAACTGAGCCCTTAGAAGCAGAGGTTTCAAAGGGCAAAGACCAGGAGGAGCCTGATCCCAGAGAAGCATCTTTGAGTAAGTTATAGTAAAGCTGTTGTAAGATTAAGAGGTTTGTTATTGTTAATGCATTGTAACCTTTTGTAACTCATTTAGGTAATTTACACAACACAATTGGCGGATGGACCAGTAGCCACTATTGAAAATCACTTTTGTGATAGTTGGGCATAGGCATACTTTTTGAAGTACTACTGTAGTTCTATGAGTCTAGTCTTTCGTACAAGGTCCTGAACAGTACTTTTCTATGCCTTTAAAAAAGATTACATTGAATACCATTTCCTCATCCACCAATCCAGGAGTAATTGTTACACCACAAAATTGTATTTGAATTCCAAAAAGTAAACTACCTAGCCATTCTAATGCTTTATGAAACATCCTGGATTGTTTACCATACGTGACATGAACTATTTTGACCAAGATCAGATCACACAACAGTATACATGTGGGAGCATCTAATGTCTCTCCAATAACAAACATTTGGCTTGATTTATCAAATTCATGTTGTGTAATTAATGTTCACAAACTCAGAGTTACCCTAAAGTGATTATTTCATTGACAGCTGAGACGTGTGTTTCCTCTGAGGTGTTTTTTCCTTTAATTAGATGATCCAGTTGAAGATGGCAGCCTGGAGTGTGAAGGTGGTGATGTGGGCTCTGGTGCAAGGAGTCGTGAAGGGGAACAGGAGGTCCCTCTCGGAAGCTGCCAGCTCCAAGATGCACCCACACGCAATCCAGGTTAAAAATATACATATGACGTATTCAAACTGTAATGTATCAGAGTAGGTGACTGACTGGGAGCTGAACTCAAAACAATATGATTTGATCGGCTTCTTGGCAATAGATACATTAATGCTTTCAAACAGCATACAATTATTTTAAATTGCTTGGTTAAAGATTTTGTACATTCTTCTGCATTAAAGCTTAATGAGTCATTCATAAACAAATTCATATATGTATTGTCATTGTGAACGTCAGTTCTAAAGTTTTGTATTTGTTATTACGCATTATAAGGTTTTTGAAATATCAAGGATGTTGTTCCTTTGCCTTGACCTTTACCCATCTGGTCAATATGCTTCCATGACATGTATATCCCCCACATTTCAGTCTGTTAATTTCCTTCTGATGGACTATTTATAGTTTCACTTTAAAGGAACAACATCCTTGAGTGGTTTCTAAATACCCCTGGAGCTGGGAGAACAGTCTCAGGAGCAGCCTGTATATTTTCAATGTCACAAAAAGCAATTGTTCAGTTCATTTCTAATCTTAACTGAAGTGGGAATACAAAAGCGCTTTCCTCCACAAACAGGAAGAACAAAGGCAGTGCTTTATTGGCCCTGTAGTTGTTGCTGATTGTAAATAAAATATGTTGTTTTTCAGAAGCTGTCGAGACGGAGCAGAGCCAGAGAATGTGGTCACCATCCTTCATGTCCCTGCCGCTCGTGGAACAACTAACCCAGAGTGAGTTTCCGCTTGCATTGACTGCTGCTGGAGCTACTTACCGAGGGGAAATCTACGGCATTGCTCTTCTTAGTGTGTATTTTCAACATGAACTTAAAGAAACATGATAGTAGACTAAACAAAACAAAAAGCGTGACTTATTGTACCTAATGGGAGACCTAACTTCCAAACCACAAAAAATAAACGATGAAATGAAATCCAAGTAACTAGTTCCTGGCTCTGAAACAGTTTGATTCTATCACTAGTTTTCAGCGCAAAGCATCAAATAGTGACTCACAGAGCTCGTTCTTACAAGATTGGTCTAACTTGTTCTCAGAATAATACTTGTACAAGAATCTTGCTGTTGATAAAAAGGTTAGTTACGTCAGTTTTAAGTAAGAGTGAAGTTGTTACAGAATAATGTTAAGCCTCATTTTGGTTGTTGACATTTACATTGCTTCATAAATATTCCTGTCAGTGCCTTTTTGTTCTTTTTACAGATCTCCAGGTGCTGATATTTAACTAATTTCGATTATGTTTTTTAGTCGTCTGATCTATGTACATTTAACATGTTATAAGTATGTCATGCATTTATATGGTATACACAGAAGCATTTGAACATTTTAGGTATTTGTCTGGCTCTTGTAGCGTTCACCTGCATCTCTCCCTTTTCAGTCTTCACTTTATTATGAATGTGATTCTTTGTGGGAGGTGAAGTGGAATGCATATTTAGTTCTGCCCACCTGAACACTGTGTTTAGTCTGTCACTGTGAGAGGAAGAGCTTTGGGAACCGTCTACATTTATTGAGCTACGGCACATCAAGCTCGAAGTTGAAGGTTCACTGTGAGTTTATTAACTGACAAATAAATGTCATAAACTCTGTTTGTAAACACAGGCCAACAGATATTTTATCATAGAAATAGCTACACTAAATCACATAATTCAAGTTTCAGCAGTATATCACTTCACACCATGGGAGACAAGGCTTTCCCTGGCACATAGTCCGTCATTCTCTCTCCATTTATCGTGAATATAAATCATTCTTATTAATACAGTCACTAATAACATGTGTTGCCTTCATTAAAAGACTGATGTAAGACTTTGAATTTTTTGTTACACCAGACAGACCCCCGACGACAAACCTGCTACAGTTAAATTAGAGGAGATGGATATATCTGCCTTGTTACTGAAATGTCATTTTGAAATGGTTGAAATTTGTCATCATCCATCCATCCATCCATTTTCTTCCGCTTTATCCGTTGCCGGGTCGCGGGGGCAGCAGTCTAAGCAGAGACGCCCAGACTTCCCTATCCACACACACCTCCTCCAGCTCGTCCGGGGGGACCCCAAGGCGTTCCCAGGCCAGCTGAGAGACATAGTCTCTCCAGCGTGTCCTGGGTCTTCCCCGGGGCCTCCTCCCGGTGGGACGTGCCCGGAACACCTCCCCAGGAAGGCGTCCAGGAGGCATCCTGAACAGATGCCCGAGCCACCTCAACTGGTTCCTCTCGACGTGGAGAAGCAGCGGCTCTACTCCGAGCTCCTCCCGTGTGACTGAGCACCCTATCTCTAAGGGAGCGCCCAGCCACTCTGCGGAGGAAGCTCATTTCGACCGCTTGTATCCGCGATCTCGTTCTTTCGGTCATTACCCACAGCTCATGACCATAGGTGAGGGAGGGAACGAAGATTGACCGGTAAATTGAGAGCTTTGCCTTTCGGCTCAGCTCCCTCTTTACCACAACGGTCCGATACAGAGACCGCATCACTGCGCACGCTGCACCGATCCGCCTGTCAATCTCACGCTCCATCCTCCCCTCACTCGTGAACAAGACCTCGAGATACTTGAACTCCTCCACTTGAGGAAGGACCTCTCCACCCACCTGAAGAGGGCAAGGCACCTTTTTCCGGTCGAGCACCATGGCCTCGGATTTGGAGGTGCTGATTCTCATCCCAGCCGCTTCACACTCGGCTGCAAACCGTCCCAGTGCATGTTGCAGGTCCTGGTTCGTTGGAGCCAGCAGGACGACATCATCCGCAAAAAGTAGAGATGAAATCCTGTGGTTCCCGAACCGGACCCCCTCCGGCCCCTGGCTGCGCCTAGAGATTCTGTCCATAAATACAGTGAACAGAACCGGTGACAAAGGGCAGCCTTGGCGGAGGCCAACATGCACCGGGAACAGGTCTGACTTACTGCCGGCAATGCGGACACAGCTCTAGCTCCGGTCATACAGGGACCGAACAGCACTCAGCAGAGGACCCCGGACCCCGTACTCCCGGAGGACCCCCCAAAGGACACCCCGGGGAACACGGTCGAACGCCTTCTCCAAATCCACAAAGCACATGTGGACAGGTTGGGCGAACTCCCATGAACCCTCGAGTATCCGATGGAGAGTATAGAGCTGGTCCAGTGTTCCGCGACCGGGACGAAAACCACACTGCTCCTCCTGAATCCGAGATTCGACCATCGGACGTAGCCTCCTCTCCAGTACCTTGGAGTAGACCTTACCGGGGAGGCTGAGGAGTGTGATCCCACGATAATTGGAACACACCCTCCGGTCCCCCTTCTTGTAGAGAGGGACCACCACCCCGGTCTGCCACTCCATTGGCACTGCCCCCGATCGCCACGCGATGTTGCAGAGACGTGTCAGCCAAGACAGTCCTACAACATCCAGAGACTTTAGATAGTCAGGACGGATCTCATCCACTCCCGGCGCCTTGCCACCATGGAGGCTGCCAACCACCTTGGTGACCTCGGCCAGGGAGATGGAAGTATCCGCCCCAACATCCTCAGCCTCTGCCTCCTGGACGGAGGACGTGACGGGGGGATTGAGGAGAACCTCGAAGTATTCCTTCCACCGCCCGACAATATCCCCAGTCGAGGTCAGCAGCCCTCTACCCGCACCATACACGGTGTTGGCAAAGAACTGCTTCCCCCTCCTGAGGCGCCGGACGGTTTGCCAGAACCTCTTCGAGGCTGACCGATAGTCATGCTCCATGGACTCTCCGAACTCCTCCCAGTCCCGGGTTTTTGCCTCTGCAACAGCCCGGGCCGCGGCACGTTTGGCCTGCCGGTACTGGACAGCTGCCTCAGGAGTCCCACGAACCATCATTGCTCGATAGGACTCCTTCTTCAGCCTGACGGCATCCCTTACTGCCGGTGTCCACCACCGGGTTCGGGGATTGCCGCCGGGACCAGCACCAGAGACCTTGCGACCACAGCTACGAGCCGCTGCATTGGCGATAGAGGAAGAGAACATGGTCCACTCGGACTCGATGTCCCCCTCCTCTGCCGGGACCTGGGAGAAGCTCTCCCGGAGGTGTGAGTTGAAAGTCCGTCTGACAGGGGGCTCAGCAAGACGTTCCCAGCAAACCCTCACTACACGCTTGGGCCTGCCAGGTCTGACTGGCCTCCTGCCCTGCCAGCGGATCCAACTCACGACCAGGTGATGATCGGTTGACAGCTCCGCCCCTCTCTTCACCCGAGTGTCCGAAACACGCGGTCGAAGGTCAGATGATACGACTACAAAGTCGATCATCGACCTCCGGCCTAGGGTGTCCTGGTGCCACGTGCACTGATGGACACCCTTGTGCTCGAACATGGTGTTCGTGATGGACAGGCCGTGACTGGCACAGAAGTCCAACAACTGAACACCGCTCGGATTCAGATCAGGGGGGCCGTTCTTCCCGATCACCCCTCTCCAAGTGTTACTGGCATTTCCCACATGGGCGTTGAAGTCCCCCAGGAGAATAACGGAGTCCCCGGGCGGTGCACTGTCCAGTACCCCTCCCAAGGACTCCAAGAAGGCCGGGTACTCTGCACTACCGTTAGGCCCGTAGGCTGTCACAACAGTGAGAGACTTGTCCCCCACCCGGAGGCGGAGGGACGCGACCCTCTCATTCACCGGGGAGAACTCCAACACGTGGCGGCTGAGATGGGGGGCAATGAGTATGGCCACCCCAGCTCGCCGCCTCTCCCCGCGGGAAACACCAGAAAAGTGGAGCGTCCAACCCCTCTCAAGGAGTTGGGTTCCAGAGCCCAAGCTGTGTGTGGAGGTGAGGCCGACTATCTCTAGTCGGTATCGCTCAACCTCCCCCACAAGCTCGGGCTCCTTCCCCCCCAGTGAGGTGACGTTCCACGTCCCAAGAGCCAGATGTTGGGTGTGTGGACTGGGTCGTCGAGGTCTCCGCCTTCGACTGCTGCCCAGTCCTCTCTGCACCTCGCCACCACGGACCCCTCTGCAGGTGGTGGGCCCACAGGAGGGACTGCCCACGTCATCCCTTCGGGCTGAGCCCGGCCGGGCCCCGTGGGCTAAGGCCCGGCCACCAGGCGCTCGCTTGCGAGCCCCGACCCCAGGCCTGGCTCCAGGGTGGGGCCCCGGCTGCGCCATGCCGGGCGACGTCACGGTTCTCATTGTCGTGCTGTCCATGGTTGGCTTCGGACTGCGCTTCGTCTGACTCGTCACTTGAGACCTGTCTGCCATGGGAGACCCTACCAGGGGCATGAAGCCCCAGACAGCATAGCTCCCAGGATCATCCGAGTGCTCAAACTCCCCCACCACGTTAAGGTGGCAGTCCAAGGGGACAAACGTATCATGTTTTTCACTAATACGTTTCTATTGTTTGATTTGTCTTCTTTAAATTAACTGAATTGAAGTATTTGAGTATTCATTTCCTAGAAAAAACAGACTTTTAATCATTGAAATCCAGAACAGAAAATCAATTTTTCAAAGTACTTTTTCACTCCAAACTGCATGCTTTTGTTGGCAGGATATATGGACACAAGCTGAGGATCAGCAATGAAAATTGAATGAATCTCAATTTGAATTTGAGTTCTGATTTCAAAGATTGCACAGCTGTAGATCATAAAACCAGAGTGAAATTGACAGTGTGAGGGTTAGGGTTAGTGAAAACTATAAATAATTGCTGTAACCAACCATTTGGATAAGGAGCCTGCACTATAGATTGTACCCACCATAAAATATATGATCTCACCTTTGTTTGTTTCTGTGTTTTGATTTGTTTATTCTTCAGAATTGTTGGAACCACATCGGCGCTTAGAGCCCCTCTACACCTGCACACGGCCCATTCGAGTGGGACTGTCCAAGCGAGCAAAGACCAGGCACCTGCATTACACTTACAAACCCTAAACAACACCATTTCTGCACTCACAACTTTTCATTTAGGCTCTTCAATTTGTTTAACTGGTAGCCCATTTCACTGCTTATGCGTGAGAAAGGTTGTGGATTCCTCTTGTGTGGAATACGATAAAAATACTGCAGATCAACAAGGTGTATACAAATTGTGTTAGAATTTGGATTGACTTTGTATATTTTTGGTAAGTTCTATTTATAAAACAGTCAATTCCTGTCAGACTAAAACAAAGACTAGGATGAATCCTATGAGGGCCAAATAAAAATGTTTAAATAAACAGTAAACAGTTAACATTTTGTCGATCAGATGGGAGTTTCCCTTTTTACATGTGAATACATTGTTTTTCCATGAAATGTTTTGCTTTTGGACTTTTAGTTGCTTAATTGATGCACATATAGAGTTCTGAAAAAGATGGCATTTTACAGGTGTTAGCCTTTCAAAATGTTACCAGTACAAATTTTGTTCTATTTATTCTTTTAGTTCTTTGTGGTGTTTTTGTGCCTCTAGTTTTGTCCTTTGACATATTTATTTGTCCTCTCTCGGGAGGTCTTCACATAATCCAGGCTCAGTGCGAAGCTTTGACGAGACTGTGGGGAATACGCACTATATTGTTCCAGCCTGAGGACACTTTGACCGCCAACGATATTAAAGTCTATTGCTGTGTAATAACGAGCCAAGAATGTACTATTTTAACCTATTTATTAAATATTTTATATAGTGTTATGAAGTGTGTATTTTCCATTGTCTGTTCAGTCTATCTGTTTAGCCAAATTTAGTTGTAGTATTTGTTTGTATTTTTCATATTGCCACCATTAAAAGAATTTTCAGGATTGTATGTATTATGAATGTCATATAATTGATTACTATTTATTCAGTCTACTGTTCATATTGCCTGTGTGTTTTTTGATATCTGTCCACAGCATTGATGGCAGATAGTTTGTTTGAAAGGAATTCATTTTTTTCACATTGTTGTAGGTTTTGGGCTACAGCTTGTGTTGTAGAGCATGGGGAAGAATTTCCGTCCGATCATACGCGATCGTGTGTGAGACTTGTTCCTTCGCAATCATCTGCATCAGATTTTATTCACAGGGATGAGGCACTATGTCAGAATGGTCAGAACACCAGATTTCATGTGACTTGGAGTGGCAAAGTTGAAGCAGGGGGTTTTCCAACAGCTGGCGGGGCAGGCCACAATGAGGCAGAGGTGAGCTCCCGTAAAAGACAAGGATGAGGAGTGTGGTGCTCCAAGGGAAGAAGAGCAAGAAGCTCTTTGCATTCAATCCATAGAAAACTGGACTCATTTTTTTGTAGGAGAGTGGAGACTGGGCAGCTGAGAAATGTGCGTGATTTTTCCGATTCTTCATAAAATTAAATTAAATGTAAATGTAATTACAGCTTCAAAAACAAAAAAATATTAAACATTTTTTAGCTAAATAATAAAAGAATAACCCATTAGCTGCAAGGACTGAACGGATGGCAACAATACCTTTAAAAGCAAGGGAAGCCCATGAGTTAAATGGTCTATAAAAGTTCAAATCACCAGAATATTCTTTGATTTATGGCTATCTGTTCTCTTGAGTTCATTCATGTTCTCTCAAAATAAAACCCTTTTGGAATCTTGCATGAAAGAGTAGAGCGGTGCCTCAGCTGGCAGACTCTAACTCCAAATGAAACAGGCACAATGCCGTGTTATGGGCTTCCTGAAATAATCTCATTCACACACCTCACCATTCACTTTTATTTCAATCAGGCATCATTTGTGAAAGCAGAGAATGAAGATCATTTTTTCCGTTTGTGCTGAAACTATATGAGCAATTTTTTATTTCTTGTGACTTGGTATGTTCTTGTAGTATGTTCTGCATTGTACATTTTGAAAATGAACTCATAATTATACACTATTGATAGCTGTAATCTAAAACAATTAATGACAGGTTACAAATTATTCACAATTATTTGGGGGTAAAAGCAAAAATGAAAAAAAAAAATATATATATACATATTATGCAGTGTATTTGAAAGATTAATCTTGCATTGTTTACGTGAATAAATATTAAGGAAACCCTTTAGTTTTTATCTTCTATTAATGTTGTGTGTTTGTATCTTATATCAAACACCTCATGCCCATTGGTTTAAAATGCACTGCACATAATATTCAAAATCCATCTACTTGACAAGACAAAAATCTGAAAACAGAATTAAATAGATGCCATATATCTTCATATTCTATTGTAGGTTCTCCTATCTATGTTAAATGCTGAGGCAGAAATATGAACTTAAACTGGTTGATCATATTAACAAAATCAAAAGAAAAATCTTTATAGTCAGCAGTTCATTGTTTCAGTACTTCCTGTTGCGGCACTGTCTGCCAGAAGGGAAACTAGCATACATTAGAGCTGGAGATGCACTGTGCAGGAATTTGCAACCATTTAAGATCAATAGCAATCACTGCACTGAACACTAGCACAATCAGAGGATCGACTGGAGCCTAAAATACCCTCAAATATCCACTGAAACAGCACACCAGTGGTTAATGCAAACTCACAACGATAACTTTTAATAGTGTTGAATATTAGCTCAATCAGCATTCTATGAGTAGTACAAATATACAGTATTTATGCAAATCCATTGGTTTACATGTTTGGTTGAAGCTAATATGGTTGCTCACACTTTAATTTAAATTGAGAAAAAGAGATTCAAACAGAAACTTTATAATGTAACTTTTCATGTCACATAAATCTATCAACATATTTTCTACTTTTTATTATTTGCATCTAAATTGTCCAACAGCACTGATTTTTAAATAATCTCACTGATGTTTTATCCCAAACATATATACACTCAAATAAAATCATTTCAAAATTCTAAAGCTTTAATTGCCCTGGAATAACTTGCATATTCATGTAATTATTTTTTCTTTGGCTGTAAAAATTTCATTCTGCAGTCATTATAAAATCATCTTAGTCATAAAACCTCTTTCCTGCATGTTTAAATGTAAAGTTCAAATAATGATTAATCGTTTACTAAATTAGTTGACGACTATTTCAATAGGCAAATAGTTAATCTATTCCAATTTATTCTATCTTACTTGTTCCAGCCCTCCATTGAAGAACATATTGTGCTTTTAGATATTAAAAATCCTGTGATAAGCCACATAAAAGATGCTGTATATAATCCTGATGAATGTGTCTGTAATGCACGAAGCATCTATTTCCAGAGCACAACAGCAGCAGCAGTGTTTCCAGATGTGATGGATTTTCATTATGACAGGGCATTACCGAGCGGCGTCTCTGGCTGGAAGCCCACAGCAGCCAGGACAGTCTCACCGGGGCGGCTGTAAATCTAACATTCACAATTCGCTCTTGATTTATCTTTCATCTCAATCTCATCCAAATAGCCTACTCCACTGCCCGCTGCACTGCGCTGACATTGGCAGCCTTGGCTAACACTAAAAAATGCGTATGGTGAAATATTAAGCTGATCTGTGCCAGGAAATAGAAATAATCTGTTATAAAATAGTCTAAATGAGAATTGATTACTGAATGTAGTTTTTTTTACGCAATATGGGGGGGACTGAGAAGATAGAGAGTTAAAAATGAGATCCTTTAGTTGGTTTTATACCAACAGCTAAAACAGCTAATTTGCTTCTGTGTTGCTGCAAATATTGTTTTTTAAATTGCAGGGACGTTACATAAGATTAGAGAGCATTGCATAATCAAAATGTTTGTCCAATGGAATAAGAGAAAACAATTACACTGTATCTGATGATGGCGATAATATTTTGGAAAACTGAATGTGTGCAATTGGGAACTATTAATTAAGTAGTAAGTAAGTAATCTTTATTTATATACCGCCTTTCACAGACCAGAGTCACAAAGTGGTTTACAATTATTTTTTTGGGCAATTGTCCTCTCACTCCACACAGAGAGCGGGGTCGCAAAACAGGAGGCTCATGCCAGAACTATTGTACATATTTTTAGTGGTAGGGGAAACCGGAGTACCTGGAGGAAACCTACGCAGACACGGAGAGAACATGCAAACTCCAATCAGAAAGGCCCTGGTCCGACCGGGATTTGAACCCTGGACCTTCTTGCTGAGAGGCAAGAGTGCTTTCCACTCAGCCACCAATGTGTGAATGGAATCAATAAAGTACGTATCTATAAGAAAAGCAGTGTAGCCATTCTTGTGATGTAAAACAAAACCTTCCCACCTCACTCCCTATATTTATATTTTCCCTGATATTGTGTCGCTTTCACACTGTTGTATTTAACCATGGCTACGTTTTTCAAGCTTAAACAAAATAATCAGACTGATGTAACATTCAAAGCAAAGCAAGGAAGTGGTTTGGCCCCCATCTAAAATGTTGCAGTGTCCCTTTAAACGTGTCTGGTTTAACAAAGTGCAGATTTTCTCAATGAAACCATTTATTTTTGTTTTGGTCTAATCTCTATTTGAGCTGCCACACTATGAAGCGTACAATCGGCACAGAGGGCAAATAATAAGAGGATTTGGTTATGACACAAGTTTGCATCATGGTGTTAGCTGTGCCTGAAAAACTCTAATTAAATTTGCATTGACTGGACAGGGGACTGTTTGGGCTTCACCGTCGGCATTGTTTGGAGAATAAATAGAATCCTTTCTGACTCATGACACAAAATGACCCAGTGAGGGCGACCTGGTGGCTGGCCCAGATTAGGACTCCACATATTAGTCATACACACAATACAGACGCTGCATATAGAAGCAAGGGTTCAAATGTGTTGATGTCAGATTGACAGATAGAAGGATGTTTTCAAAAGGCAAAATCTATTTTAACTGACGAGCAATGAAAAGCACATTTGATCTGGTCTAGAAACATTTCTACACTGCCATTATTGTCGGACACATTATTCAAAATGTATTTTTTAGAGTTTAGTTTGAACCATTTAGAGTTTACATCTCACTTACCCAAGATATATTTTGTGATTCGTTGAAGTTTGAGTTATGATCAGTGCCGGTC